ATATATATATATATATATATATATATATATAGTTTTCAAGGGTCAGCATCCAAGCATGGCAGGCTCCATGGCATACAAGAAGAAAAGATTTCTTCAAAAAGAAGCAAAATAGGCTTACTACTGTGACAAGGAATCAGGTGAAGAATTCCGAAAAGGACCACATTATAAACTTCGCAAAGATATCAGTCTCAAGGAACTCGATATGGGCAGCCCGGCCTATCATGGTATTCAAATTCCTACCCTGAGAGGAGGTGTCAAAGTTGACATCACACCTCACGAAGGTCCGTCGCTCAGTGGAAGGTGCATGTATCTGGTCCAAGCAACTGTTGAGCATCTCCATGAAAATAGGTCCTCTCTTTGAGTCTAGTGTCGCCGCATAACAGGCTTCGATCCTTGCGGAATGATATGGTACATAGCCATCCTGATGGGGAAGAATAGAACTTTAAGGTTGGTATAGGTAAAGGAAGAGTGAAATAAATGGCAAAAAGACAAAAAGAAATACATTAATGAATTTGTTGAGTTGGTAGAAAGAGATGAGCCTGATACATCTCCATGAATAGGGTTATAAACCAATTTAAATGATAAAAGCCAAATATCAACTGGTTTTGAAATTGCGGCCTGCACCTTCTGGGGGAGGGGGAGGGGGGGAACAGAGAGAGATTTTGAAATTGTGGGCCTGCACCTTGTGGGGGGTCCACAGAGAGAGAGACAGAGAGAGAGATGGAACTAGCCTTAAGTAGGCAGTCATCACAACTGCCAGCGTCCTGTCACCATTTTCAAACCTAGTGTTGCACATTTTATGGATAAGGAATTCCTCTTGACAAATAGGGATGCAGACCTCCCATGATGAAATTGGCAGTAGCAATTGAATGAAAATCAATGTGCAGAAGGGCTATGGTCAGACATCAAAAAACAAAATTGAGAGATTTTTTCTCTTGGCATTACACCCACGCAGGCATGCCCTCAGCCTAGATCCTCGGGGACAACTTAACAACAAAATAACTTTTCAAAAGCATCCAAACTTGTCCGAAAAAGAACTGGAAATGAGTTTTTTTCTAAAACAAAATTGATAATATTCCATAATAGCATAAAACAGAAAGGATTACAAGGATACCTGTGGAGAGGACAGCAGAATCACGTTCTTAAAGTTCTCTAGCGTCTTTTGCTGAAAGAAAAATAACAAAGCACATTAGTATGCCAAGCATGCAGTGGCGTTCAGTGACATTGAAATACAACCACGGGAGTTCTCATACACAAAACCACTTTATTTCAATGATACATATATATCACTACATAAAATCGAAAGAAATGGGTAGCCATAAGAATATCCATTTTACAAATATAAAAAGATTATTTATCCAGACTAACTCTCTCTCTCTCTCTCTC